TATACAGCTAAGTACTCTCTGTCTCTTTACCTCTCCCTATCTCTCTCTCTCTCTCTCTCTCTCTCTCTCTCTCTCTCTCTCTCTCTCTCTCTCTCTCTCTCTCTCTCTCTTGCTCTGTATTTTGCTCTCTTCATCTTAATTCCTCTCTCTCTCTCTCTCTCGCTCTCTTTTGTTCTTTCCCTCGCGCGTGCCTTTCCCCCTCTCTGTTTTAGCTGCTTTCGCACTAGTTCTATATTTTTATCTTCATCTATTTCTTTCTCCTTATCTCTCTCTCCTTCTCTAACGCTTCCTTCTATCTCTTTACATTCTTGAATACATTCATTATTAGTTTGTGCACGAAAACTGCAAAGCCACAAGCGCCACCTATCGGTAGACAAAATCTCCAGTTTTTTGCTGTAGGTGGCGCTGAACGATTACCATGGTCGTAAGTATTTTACAAATTGCGATTTTACAATAAAATTGATATATTAACGTTCAGCATATTCTTAGCTTGTTCCCCCTCGACCCGGGAACACGGACACAACACAAACGTAGCACTAACACAACTTTAACAGTGAAGTTAGCATGACAAGGCATGCGAAGACTAATCCGACCAGGTTGTGTGACTAACGAGTAATGTCAATATACACAGGTCTCCTAACCCTAGTCCGCAAATGCAGACGTAAACTCCGCTTTGCTAATCTGAGGGTGCGGGTTTATCCATTACTGGGACCATTACTGGGGTCTGCGTCGGCTCGGACTATCCTAACCCTAGCAGTAGCAAAGACCGTTTCTTGGAGCTAGCCAAGACACCGCTGATCCACTAGGCCTACTAGAGCTCATAGGGTCTATGTCCACCAGGGTACTGCCGGAACGTACCCTGGTAACTATTTGATATGGTTAGGGTTAGGGTTAGGGTTAAACCGACCAGGCTCTCCGACTGTTACACGACGCCACCGTCCACGTAGTGTTAAGCGAGATGGGAACTTGTGGCTAGGGTTAGGGTTAGCCAGTGTACGTTCCGGTAGTACCCAGGGGGACATGGACCTTCTCAGCCCTACTAGATGGCATTGGTATTGCCTATTGGTAACATGTCTAGTCTCTAGGCTCTGGACGATTATGTTACACTCCGTGCACTACTACGCACACACAGACGCACATACAGACGCACACACAGACGCACACACAGACGCACCTATGCACACACAGACGCACCTATGCACACACAGGCGCACACACAGACGCACCTATGCACACACAGGCGCACACACAGACGCACATACAGACGCACACACAGACGCACCTACGCACACACAGACATACAGACGCACACACAGACGCACGTGGACGCACACGTACACACACAAAGACAAACACACATTTAGATCTATCTATACATTATGTCAGGGCTGCCAACTCTCGCGCATTTGGCGTGAGACTCACGCAATTGAGGCTATAATCTCATGCTCTCACTCCGCCGGGTTTGCTAATTTTCACGCATACAGAAACAAACAAACGTTTTGAGCCATCCATATATATACATATGTACATAGTACATCTAAAAGCAGAACTATTGCACCAGAATGCACAATTTCAAGCTGAAAAATGCAAAAGCTCCCTCCTCCATTCCACACTCTCTCCTACCCCCACTCGGTCACTCCGCTCCCTTGCATAATCTCACTCTCAACTCTAACTTAATGTGGGCAGGCCCGTTATGTTCATGAACGGACTCCGACTGATTGATAAGGGAGATAGAAAATTGTGGTTAACGTCACTTTGTAGTAATAGCACGATATTACACCACTGTTAGTCAGCTAACTATACACATGAAGATTTGTGTGAATTTTTTTTACAGAAAATTGGATTACAGTTCAGAGCCAGCCTGGAGAATGTTACAAACCTGGGCCCAGATGGAGATGACTTTCGTTGGTACCTGAAGGTGAGTCAATCACTGATTGCGAGGACGTGGCTTAGTAAGGTACACTCATTACTTAGGTACAATCATTTTAGAAACCCTGGAACATCAGAGGGAGCATTGAGACAAGTTGTTCAGACCATTTATGAGCGCTTAATAAAATGTGATACTAGGATGTAGGGAAACGCAATTCTGCATTATCATTTCACAAAAACAGAAATTTCAACCAATGTCAAAGTAACTGAATTCAATGAAGTAAGTTGCATTTGTGTGCCAATTATGGAAAATTGGTTTTTATAAGCAACAGTACCTGTAGTCTAACTTACATTGACTGAGTTATTGGTATTACTCTTTATTTTGTTATAATCGCTGTATACATTACAGTTGTTCATTTGTATGTTTTAGCTAAAATGTCTCAACTGTGGTGAGGTTGGAGATAAATGGCAATATCTCACATTATTGGTGAGTTGTGTAATGTTTAAAAACATTTAATTAATTCACATCGCCACTTAAAGTGATTATGTCACCGTAAATAGTAAAAATAAATAAAATATTTTCACTTTTTCACGAAATATAAGTAATTCTGTTCACTTTTTATGGTAAAATTGCTGCATTATACTTCTTATTTTACTATTGTTCGATGTGAACATACACTCGTGACTCATACATAGCCCATAGCAAGCAATTAATGTCAGGAACACTAATATCAAATCGTCCAGGTTTTTTCGGATTTTTAACTAGTTGAGAAACAATTTTTTCAGGTAAGAATTTGACGATACGTTTAGTCCCGTTAGTTCTTACTTTTAATGTAAAAAATGGCCAAAAAAATGTACAAATTTTACCATAGAAAATTCGTGATGTAGTCAATTTCTAAGTCATTTATGTATGAATAAATTGCATGTTCTAGCGAATAGGCTTGCTGTTATACCTGGTAATGGTAATATAGAAGTAATTCTCGATAAAAAACGAGAAGAGAAGAAATAAAAGCAAGATCAGTCGTCGTTATTCATATGATGATAATTTTGATATGTGCATGAATCATCATATCTTTACAGGAAAGCACAGCATTGAAGGGTGGACGTGGTCATGCTAGTCTTGTCACGAAATGCAGGTTTTGCATGAGGGAAAACTCCATTGGTATGATCCTGTGAATTATGTTTCCACATTCAGGGCAGAATATGTTTAAGGTCTTGTGAGTGAGATTATAAACATAAGCTGCGTTGACACGAGATTCACGGCCTCGCTGGTTCCGTACTTATCTGGTGCTGAATTCGGCTGAAATACCGTGCTAACACAACCCGCAGCGTTCACACGAGAATCGAGGCTTAGCTGGCTAGGTATAATATAGACTGGTACCTACATGTTTGTAGCACGCATGTTAACCCCAATGTTAACCCCAATGTATGAATCGGTGTAATCGTCATTGTTTTCCGTAAACAGTATATATAAGGTTGCCGTCTACGTGCGGCCTCTGCTGTGCTATCAGGAGTGTGATAATATAGACATCGTCTATACACATTGTCTATATGCTCACACTGCTGGTTCTAGCAGAGAAGTACTGCGACTGCTCCAGGCGTCAGCTCTACTGTGACACGACCCCAATGTTTTATTTTGGCCACGTGCCACGCGCGCTCCCTGCTGCCATGTTACGTCTCGTATATTTGGTATTGACTTGCATTGCGTATTCGTGGTCGATGAGCGAAATAACAGAAAACTACACACACACACGTGCGCACGCACGCACATACATACATATATACACACACACTCACCCACTCACGCACGCACGCACATACATACATATACAAGCACACACACCCACTCACGCACGCACGCACATACATACATATACACACACACACACACACACACACACACACACACACTCCACCACTCACGCACGGCACGCACGCACATACATACATGATCACATCCCACTCACGCCACTCACGGCACGCACGCACTACATACATACATACATACATACACACACACACACACACACACACACACACACCAATCTCACCCACCAGATAACATACATATACCACACACACCCACACTCACCCACTCACGCACGCACGCACATACATACATATACACACACACTCACCCACTCACCGCACACACGCAATACATACATACACACACACCACACACACACCACACACACACACACACACACACACACACACACACACTGACCCACTCACGCACACACATACATACATACATATACACACACACACTCACCCACTCACGCACGCACGCACACACACACACACACACACTCACACACTCACGCACTGTCTCTCTGTCTCTCCTGTTCCTGTTCCTGTTCTCTGTCTCTCTGTCTTTCTCTTCTCTTCACCTCCTTCAGATCCTGGGCGACATAGGTCATTTGGAAACTCCCCCCATCGTCGCGTCCGTTTGTGTCGCCTTCTGCTCATCTTGCCTCCAGAATTAGCCATTCTGTCTTGAGTTCGCCTCCAGGTTACTTTTGCTCCTACGCAGACATCTTCCTTGCGGTTCCAGCTCAATCGCCGTGCCGTGTTATGTCAGTCGCTTCCTCCGCAGTGTGTGGGCCAACCAGCCCCCATTCCTTTTTCTCCATTTGCGATTTTCGATTGGAATAGGCTTCGTCCTTTGCCAGAGTTCTTTATTTGCTGATGGTGCGCGGTCAAAAATATTCTGAGCGAACTTTCTTCAAGGCATTAATACAAGATAAATACTGACAAATTTGTTATTGATATTTACCCCCCAATGTACTCACAACGACGTAATATCAACATGACCCATGTTTATTA